CAATTCAAGAAGCTGGTGATTTATATCTTAAATTTGTTTATATCAGTTTGGGAACTTGGCAATGTTGGAAAGAAATTGAAGAAATGAAAAAATGTCAAATTGGTAGTTCGCAATTTCAGTTAAGTCCACAACAATGTTGCGTAAGTGAACAACAGCAACAACAAAGTGATTCGAGTGTTGTACATAATGATGATGTAAATAATGTAAATGGTCAACAAAAAAAGAATAATGATAATTATTATAAACAACAAATAAAGAGGAATTTGGAAAGAGAAAAAGTGGAGAGAATTGAAACACTTTATGTATCCTCTTTTTTCGTTATTATTATTATTATTATTATTATTGCGTTATTATTATTGTTATTTAATTCTTTATCATTATTTCATTACCATTTTTTTTTGTTATTATTATCATTATCCTTAACTAATATATCAAAAAAAAAAAAAATAAATAAATATTTAATAATTTTAACAATTTAGAGTTCAATTATTTCCCAATTACAAAATATTGTGGTGGTATTACTTAAACTATTATTAGCCACAGTATCCTCATCTACAAACAACACCGTCACGACTATACATAATAATAATCATAATCATCATCATAATAATGGTAAAAATAATAATGGTAAAAATAATAATGGTAATAATAATGGTAATAATAATAATGAAATTAATGAAATCAATAAAAATGAAGGAAACTCGATAAATATAAATTCATCGACAACGACTTCAAATAATGAAAATCATTACAACAACAATAATAATAATGGAAACCGTAATAGTAATAGTAGTAACAATAATAATCATAATAATGATACAATTGGAGAGATAGACATTTTAAGACATCGTGAAATTACTTCAAAAGTGGTATCAGCGATTTTATTATTATTACTTAAACATTTGAAATTATCTCGTATCCTTTTTTATATACTTGACGTTACATTACGTTACATTATATATATATATATATATGTATTTTTTTTTTATTTATATTTATATAGATGTGTGTATTTATTCTTAATTATTCTATTTCGATTATT